TTTTTCTTATGTGAGAAGATGATGTTGAATGAGGGATGTGAGAGGATGATGTTGAATGAGAGGGAGGGGGTGGGGAACGTAGTTTTTGCTAAAATTCAAATTTTGTAATTTCTTTTTTTAAGAAAAAAAGTAAAAGTGTCATTTTTTGATGCGGTATTTAGTAAAAAAGATGCGGTATTTAACACCACCCCTTTTAAAATGGGGAGCATATTGCATAATGCATTAATTTGGTCAAAATGTGAGGAGAATAAAACTGCTTAACCAGTTAAAAAAAATAGGGTTAATTTAGGCACAGTTTTTTTTGGAAAGGTGTGAAGAGTTCTTACTACTACAATTAACTGAAATAAAAGTTCACGGTAAGAAAGAAAAATTGTAGTGAGGAAAAAAATGAAAAAGAGAGGAATTGGAGTTTGATTTTGTTCATTAACTATAGATTTCTATGACAAATTTACATCCTTAGTTCAACTGGCACATTCAAATCCTGCTTTCAACCCGGTTAGGTAAACATTAACAATATGCTTATGCATACAGGTCCAAAACTATCTATGTCAATCTATCATACATTCAAGTCCTTCAAATCAGCTTATCCTGTAAAACCAATGACACAAAAAGATAGATACAATACCAAGACAATATTTATCGCAATAACTCACAACGAACAAGAACTCCATATCGCTCCATTATTGCATCAGCAAGAACCCACGACACAAACGAAAAGATCCAAAAGTCGGTGATTATTACAAATTGCACGAGCACAACACACAATATGGATTAATAAAAGCTTGAGGTGAAGCCTCAAGCAGCTGCAACAGTTGCAGCCCCACCATGTTCGGCTATTTTAGCAGCCAACTCTTCCTTCTTAGCACCCACAATCCTATGCACTTCCTTCCCATCTTTCAGAAACACGAAAGTCGGCATTGCCTCCACATTGTATTCTTCAGCAACCAACTAAAAGAGGAAGGAAAAGAAAAAGAACAATGTTTTAAGTTTAGGCACCATGGTTCTAACATGAATCGTATAACAGAAAATGACGGACAAACTCCAAATCTATGCTATAGATTAAGAGCTAAGTTACAGAAATAACCCCCAACTGGCTTAGCCTAGTTAGTAAGAAACAATAATGGAGTTCTTATTCACAATATCTCACATGGACCTTCATTTTCGTTTGGGTTGTGTAGGTTGGAAAGAAAATTCAAGTGGGTAATGTTCTTGATTCCATTGAATTTGAAGGGTACTTTTTGTGAAACTAAGATAGTAGAGATATGCATATATACCTTAAGTTCGTCAACATCCACCTTCAGGAACAAAACATGGGTAGTTTTCTTGGCAATCTCAGCTAGAATTGGGGCAATAAAACGGCATGGTCCGCACCATGAAGCTGTGAAATCCACCACCACCTGAAGAAGAAGTTATTTTGTTTTTAACAAACGCCACACACTGTAAAACTTGAAAGAGAAGATGGAAAAAGATAGGTTTGTCTCCAAATTGAGAGGCCAAGCAAGACGATTTCCAGAGAAAAATTATCGATTTTAGCATGACCATCTTCACATAAAAGCAAACGGGTCACATGTAAATAAGCATATCTCGATAATTTTTTTTGTCCCCTGCCAATCTCCCTCAACTTTTAATACCAAAATAAATCATAGAATCTGCAGTAAAAGCAATATTATACAAATCCTTTACTCGGGAAGTTTGTAATGTCAAAAGCACAAGAACAATTCATAGATTAAAGGAAGTTGTAAAAACAATTACACCGAGATCCTCAATTTGTTAGAAGAGTTCATGACAAATTTCTTTACCTTTTCTCAATTCATTTCGAAAAGAAACACCCAGAGAAAGTACAAATCATGCCCAATAAAACAAAGGTGAAGTGTTGATCGAAACAAGACGAAGATGAACCGATAATCAACACAGGAAAACTGGTTCTTAAACTGCGAGAAATTACAGGGGTTAACAGTAAAAAATCAACGGACAAAGAGGAAA